TTAAGCATTAAAATATAAGAGAGTATATAAAAATAGCACTTTTCTTTATACAAAATTTCTCGATATATTTTAATTCTATTTACATTACAAAATTATAAAAAGAAATATATAAAAGATAGAAAAGGTAAATAAAAAGATAGAAAATAAAGTAGAAAAGATAAATAATAAAGATAGAAAAGATAAATAATAAAGATATAAAAGATAAAAAAGATAGAAAATAAAGGTAAAAAGAGTAAAAAAGATGAAAAATAAAGATAGAAAAGATAGAAAATAAAGATATAAAAGATAAAAAATAAAGGTATAAAAGATAGAAAAGATAAAAAATAAAGATATAAAAGATAGAAAAGATAAAAAATAAAGATATAAAAATAAAAATGATAGAAAATAAAATATAAAAGGTAGAAAAGGTAAAAAAGATAGAAAATAAAGATATAAAAGATAGATAAAGTAAATAATAAAAATAGAAAAGATAGATAAAGTAAATACTAAAGATAGAAAAGATAAGTTATATGATTACTAAATGATTAATATATATAAGTTATTTTTATTGATTTATTGTTTTGTTACTATTTTTTGAAGATTTTTATATTTTCTACTATTTTTGAAAAATTCATTAATTAAGAAATTTTTAAAACTAAATGTAATAATATTCAAAAATATTTATATAATTGTAAAAATTTTCAAATTATTTTATTATTTTATTTTATTTTTTATTATTTTTTGATTAATTAATATTTTATTATTTTTTGATTACTTTTTATTATTTTTTAATTATTTTTTATTATTTTATTTTATTTTTTATTATTTTTTGATTTTTTAATTACTTAACTTTTTATTATTTTTTGATTACTTTTTATTATTTTTAATTATTTTGGATTAATTTTGATTATTTTTAAATTTTTTTATTATTTTTATTATTTTATTTTACTTTTTATTATTTTTGATTACTTTTCATTATTTTATTTTACTTTTTATTATTTTTTTGATTATTTTTAATTATTTACTTTATTATCTTATTTTTAGTTAGCTATTATATTTTAAAATTATATTTCAAAAAATATATAAATAAAAATATTATCTGAGTTTTAACTTGATATATTATAAATAAAAATAAAATTTTCTTTTAACAAAAATCATTTTTCAAATAATATTTGTTTTTCTCACTTTTAATTATATATATAAAAGCTTGTATACAAGTGATTTTAAATTATATTGTACTAAACAAAATACTATTATTAACTTGAACTTTATATTATATCATGTCAAACAAATTACTATTATTAGATTATTAGCTTTATATCATATTATACTAAACAAATTATTATTATTGAATTTATTAATTTTAATTAAGTATTTTTAATTTTATTATTTTTGAATTTAATATTTTAATATTCCTTATTTATGAAAAGAACAAAGTAAAAGAGTTTTTGTTATTGTTATTATTAATTATATTGATTTGGCTCTAGAAAGCTTTATACAAATATAAAAAATTAGTATTTTAAAATTTTTTCATTATATATTTCTTTATATTTTTATCTTTTCTTTCTTTATTTTTTGATTTTTACTCTCATAATTTTTTAATTATTATTATATTTTTAAATTATTACAATTTTTGTAAAAATTGGTATATTTCTCTTTTTTTTAATTTTTATTTATTGTTTAATTATTATTTGTAATCCAATTTCAAGTTTATAAGCTAATTTAATAATTAATAAATAAACTTGTAACAATATACTCCAGTAGAATAAAAATTAAAATCACAAGATAACTATATTATTTCTTGAATTATTTATATACTTGATTTTAAACTTTATAAAATTTCAGACTAAATATTAGTGTTTCTATAAACTAAACCAAATCAAACTTTTATCTGAATTTGAATTTGATTTGAAATTTGAACTGTACTCAAACTGAATTTTGGTTAAGTTTAAGAAAAGTTCAAAGTTTAAACCAAATTTAAATGAACTATTATACAAGTTTGAATTTGATTTGAGTTTGATTAAAGATTAGTATATAGTATTATATATTGATTTGTAGCTCTAAATATGAGTTATAACTTTAATTAAAAATATATTTTGTGATATTTAGTGAGAATTAGATGTTTATATAGTGATTATTAATATATTTTATTTTTACATTTATTAAATTTAATTGTAAATACTATAATTTGTAGTTCTTATTTCTGGCTATAATTTTACTTATAATTATAATTTATAATTACTATATCAAAATAAATATTTGTTGTATTATAAATAAAGCAAATTAAAATTGTAATAATTAAAAATAATTTTTAAAATTTATATAAATTTTTGAATATTTATTCTAAATTAACTATTTTATATCAATTTGTAACTCTAATTAAGATCTATAATTTTATTTAGAGCTTTATCAAGTATTTACTTGAACTTGAATCAGATTTTTAATTGAATTCAATTTTTTGAACCAGATTTTTTTTTCAGAATTCTACTGGATATTGAAAGAATTATATTTTAACAAAATTAATAATTTAAAATTAGTACTTATTTATAAATAACTATTATTCATTAATTAATAATTAAAATTTTACTCTTTATGATTGTCTTATTCAAAAACTGATAAGAGTTGTTATATATATAAGCTAATGAAAATGGAGATATCAACAAAAAGTACAACTGGTTGTTCCTATAAAAAAATACTCTTGTAAATTTTAATATATTTCTATATAAAATATGGAAATATCTGAAAGATATATTAAAGATCAATTTTTACATGTATTTTACAGATATATAAAAACATGTTATTGCAGTAATAGTAAATAATCAAATCATTCACTTATTTTATAAATAATTTCAAATGATATCAAAATGATTTAGATTATTATTATGTGAGTTATTTTCAATTAATAGAATTTTAGTGAGTTATTTATAATGATATTGCAAAGTTAAATTTTATTAAACAAAAGAAAATAATATAATCACTTGATTTTTTGAACTAAACTATTAGGTTATTCAAATCTTTAAAATGATCAATTATTGATCATTTCTTATTGGAGTCATTTGGGTTATTTGAAGTTATTTACATAACTGTATAATTGAGTATGCAAATATATGAGAGTGTGTTTATATATTTGTAAAAAAGTGACTTTTTACGTATCTTTTTACAGACATATTATATGCAAGATTTCTTATAGAATATATTGGTTATTTGTATTAACTGTTTATATTGCTGAACTAGTTTTAACCCATAATTAAGATATCAATCTCTGTATTCTTGAATGATTCAAGAATACAATAAAGACTAGAAATTGAATCCTCAATATAGTAGTGATGATAAATAACTTTAAATAATCCAATAACAAATAACCAATGACTAATCATTTAAAAGATCAAATAATCTAACTGGTATTTCAAAAAGTCAAGTGACTTCACTATCTTCTTTTATCAATAAATTTTGTGATGTCATTATAAAAATGACTCACTAAATCTGTATTGATTGAAAAATAAATCACATGACAAATGATCTAATGACCTAGATCATTTCGATGTCATTGAGATCATTTATAAATGAGCAAATGACACGGTAAAGTTTTTTAAATCTTGATACTTTGACAATTTAATCACAATTAATACATTTGATTTATTAGATGCTATAGTTTAACCTGTTATAAATTCAGCGTGGATTATTAATTCATCACCATTTGATTCTTTTTAGTTTAGATAAACGCAATTAACAATAACAGAGGACAACTGATTTTTGTTCAATGAAATTTATATTCTTTAATTTCGGTAAATTCCCCAAAAAATTAACGCTATTATCAGTTTCGTTAAATTTTCAATATAATTACTATATTACTATATTGAAGTAATATCATTAAATTAATTATTATCGTTATCTTAATATAAAAAATAGTATGATTGCTTTATTTGTTCCACGCAAAACAAGTACGTAACAATAATTAAATTTTCAATATCATTGAAATGAAACATCTACATGATAAAAAAATCCTTATTTATTATTCTCAGATCAAATGGCTTTATGCAAAAAGATGAATGGAGGTAAGAAAATCTTTCGATTAGTATCAAGAGTAAATAATTATTTTATGCTTTATAAAACAAAAATCAAATCATACAACTCGCCTCAATTTCAATTCATTCACAGACAGGAAATAGTAGACAACGCATTCACATCAGCACTCATATTTAAATAGATTGGTCGTCTAAGCGAAGATGCTGCTCCAATTATTTTACAAATAATTGATGAATTAAAAATCCCATTAGTTATGAATTTAAATAATGTTAATTTAATTAAAACTTTACAAATTTATTTCACAAGAAACAAGAGAACAAATTTGCGTAAATCTTATTTACATATAGCATATTTTAGAGCAGTCTGAATATATTTTTTAAAAGTACAAGGATGTTTTACCTTTATTATTACAACAAATTAGATATTCATGTGATCAGATTAAAAAAGAAGAGTTGTTTATTATTTTGATATGCATTTGATCTCTGAAGACTTCTACCAACGACGAATATACACAAGTAAAAATGCAGTTTTGTTTTGTAAATTCTTTATATCCAATCTATATAGTTGCAGTTTGTTCTCGCATTATCGATTTCAATATCGATATCGCTACTTGTCCAATCGAAAAATTTTGCGTTTCATTGCAAGTTCCATAAATGGTTTAGTTTATCGGTTTTTCTTTTCTAATTATTTTTTCTCCTTTCTAAGCATTCATTCAAATATATAACGATAGCGATTAACCCTTCCGTTTGATTACTTTTATGGTGTTATGATTAGTCCTTAATTGAAAACCGAAAGGTAACGGTAAGAATACGCGATATTGTATACAGTATTCTGCATATCCGATTTAAATACGTATTGTGTTGGTGTACATGTACTTGGTAACCTAGAACCTATAAAAAGAAATTGGAATTGGTTAACGTTAACGTTACTTTATCTCTGTTAATGAACTTCTAAATTCTGTTAATGAACTTCTAACTTAACGATAAAGAATAACGATGACTAACGATAGTAATAAACTTCTTGCAGATGATGAGCATACTAAACGTACTGAAGATAGCGACAATACGGAGTCATCCAAACGAACGGATTTTATAATATTTCTACCATTGATAAAAGATGTTGCAAGATATGCGGATAATGTTGGAAAACATTGTGAAAATGCTGAATATAATATAAGAGTTTGCAATGTATTACTTAAACGTGTCAATAACGCGGCGGACGAAGTGAAAACTTTACGTCAACTAAAAAATCATCACAGTTGGTTTTTCGAAAACAGTAACAATTATCCAATTTTTCAAAGATTCGTTCGAGTGATTGGAAAAATTCAATCTTTTATCATTGATATTTCGCAATTGCAAGGAATCAGTAAATATTTTCATGAACACCGAGGCCCGGAATTTTCAATGGATAAAAAATTCCATAGTCTTATTAGAGAATTTGAAAAGTCTACAGAAGCACTTACTCATGCGTCAAAAGGTCATCTCTATTTTGGAAGGCCGAAAACAGATCAAAATATCGAAGATGAAGAAGCTATAAGTCTGGATATTCGTGATATGGAAAATGTAATAAATGTCTTTATAAAATCATTATCAATCTATTTATACTAATTCTTTATTACGTAGTATATTAGAATTATCGCTGGTGGTATCGCAGATGGACAAAAGATTTTAGAGGGAGTAGGAACTGTTGCTACTCTGACTAAGACTCTTAAGAAAAAAGAAAATATCGTTCTTTTTGAGGAAGTGCTCAACGACACAATTCTTAATTTCCAGCATTTCCATTATACCGAAGTAACGTACAGCAAAATGCGCAAATATATAAGATACGATAATGTCGAAGTCGCATTCAAAGAAGTCGAAGTTGATACATGTAAAGATTATCTTAAAAAAGATGTCACAATCCTTAAAAAATTAAAAGGGGCAGAGAATTTAATTTTGTTTCACGGAATTATAATTGATAAGTTTGCTACTTTTCTGGTAACCGAATGGGTCACCGAATCATGTTTGAAGGATTTCTATCAACATCATAGAATGGATTGGAGTCTACAAATGCAATTCGCTTTAGATATCGCTAGAGGCTTAACTTATTTAAGAAGTGCCGATATTTTACATCACGATATTCACAGTGAAAGTATTTTTATTACAAATGGCAGTCCGCAGTATACTGCAAAAATCGGCAATTTCGGTATAAGTTATGATTATAGGCCAAACTCACCTCACGCATCTAACTGTATTCGATACATGGCACCAGAGAAACTTAAGGATTCTAGTTATCCATATGATTTTAAGTGTGAAATTTATAGGTAAAAACATTATACGAATGACTATTACGTAATAACGATAATAAGCTTAGAAACAATTTTTATTTATAGTTTTGGAATACTTCTTTGGGAAATAGCTGAACAAAGGATCCCATTTCAAAATATTAAGAAAGATGTTGTAGGAATTCGGCAGAAAGCACTTGATGGTAAACGAGAGCCATTTTCCTCGCCATCGCAAGTTCCAATTGAATGGATAGAGATTGTTAATAAAGGTAATTTTAAGATTACCAATACCATACTAATATTAATTAATGATAATAAAGTTTGTATTTCTTTAATTATCGATTAGTTACAAGCTTTGACCCTACGGATCGTCCAACTCTTGCAGATGTATTTACAAACCTAGTTGAACTTAGTAAGAAATATCCTCCGACTGCTCAACCCAAAATATTTTCAACTATTCATCGCCCAACACCAAATCCAAGACCCTTATTAACTATTCAAGATGCCATCAATAATCATATATCCAAGGGTGGTGATCGTAAAACAGCATATCAAATATTTTGCTACTATGCAGATTTGGGCGATTTCACTGCAAAATATTGGGTCGGATATTACTTGTATTATAATTGTTTAAATGATCAAGGAACTGCCGAGCAACGCGAAAGGGCAATAGTACGAGCTGCAAAACTTTTTAAAGAAGCAGCTGACATAGAATTGCCTGAAGCTCAACTTCGTTATGGTCACTGTCTATTGAATGGCGAAGGTGTCGAAAAAAATGTATCATTGGCCGTGGAATATATTCAGAAAGCTGCAGATAATGGAATCCTAACTGCTATGTATAACATCGGATGCATATATTACAATGGAAATGGAGTGGTGCAAGATAAAGAAAAAGGTGCATATTATCTCAGAATGGCAACAATAAAGGGAGAATCTAAAGCTTTCGAAATGTGCAAAGAGCATAGTATTAATATGTTGTAATTTGTTAATAAGTCATGTTGGCATTGCCAATTTTATGTACAGCACACGTATTATACATGTATTTGCCTTTCATCACCAAATAGTTCATGGACGTGTGATTACAAATTCAAACACCGATACAATTTATTAATTAAACAGACTAGGTAAATTGAATAATCCAGATACGTACCACCTTAGTAGTACATGTACTATGAGAAGTAAATGCTTTTAATTCGTTATTCTGTATTTTTTATTTTTCTGATCACAAAATCCACAATAATAAATGTGAATAATTCAGAACAGAAGCAAAATATCCTTTTTATGAAAAATAAATTTTTGCGAAACTTTAAAAATTTCAAGATCTATCTTTGTGACTCAGTCTGATTATAATCTATTTTGAATGCCTCAAGTATAAATGTTAAATTCTCTATTAACTGAATTGTTCTTAATACATGTAGTGACAATTAAAGCTCTAAAGTAAAAATAAAATATCGTATAAGAAAATTTGTATGTAACTTTCGATATATGTCTGTGTAAAAATATGAAAAAGGGCAAGTGTTTAAATATCCATTGATTTATATTCTTCAAAATGTCGAAATTAACGAAAAAAGATATCAATAAAAAATACATCAAACACGTGTTGACGTTTTTGTTTTCGTCTAGTCCATCTACAAAAACAAATGACGGCAACACTAATTCTATAGAGAGTATTTTGGACAATCACAGTCAAAAATTTACATCAGGACAATCGACATCTATTTGACTTTTGGATTTGGAATGTTATGGAAGAAATATTTGACACAACTAATCCAATATAATTTTCGTTAACAGTATTAGTTTCCAATAAAAAATTTCTATGCTTTTTGTGCTCAAAAAAAATATGGTCAAACTTGTGTTAATAGTAATTTTCATTATTTCAAACTTATATATGATAAAAACGGGGGGTATTGTGGTGTTTTTAATATTGTAATTACCAATATATTTTTAAAATATAAATATATACAAGCCTTAGCACATATTTACAATATTATTACCATATTTTATTGGTGTTTTCTTGACCCGCCACAATATCCACCTTACCTTATAATCTAAATCTTATTGCTGCATGTAATCTTTAAGAATTTCATAAATTAACATTCAATAGATTTTTAAGTACAAATTTTCTTGAAAAAATTTTATTTTACTTCCGCGCGATTGAAAGTTTAACGTCATAATAATTTATGTTTAATTCTATCATCAGAGCTCTATATATCATATTTGTACGGTTTTTTGACAATTTTTATTGGATGGTTTGAATCATCATGTACATTTTACAAAAAAATACTATATTATATAATCTATTCTCTTATTTTTACTTATAAATCTATCAATCAAATTCATCTAAAACAATCGAAATAAAAGTTAATTAATGTATTATAATATTGAATGAATTCTATTCCAATGGATTATATCCACCATTTATATTTTTGAATTTTTAGTCCGAATTGCATAGATCTTGTTGTCACAGAGTCAATAAAGATCAGTAACGGTACGGTTAGGGTAATCCATCTTGACCATCTTGTAACATCTTTAAATTGAATGATTATCTGACTTTTAATGTTCATTTATGTGCCGATGTTTTTTCCTTATCACAGAACTCCACCATTAATACAACATTCTTCTATGGTTTCAAAAGAGAGCTTGATGACAAACATCAATGAGGAAAATAAAATAAAGTAAAAGCGTTTGGACAAAAGGAGACTAAAAAGGTAATTCTTGCCAGATTAAAAGAATTATGTTAAATGAAAGCCAACTCGTTAATCAAAAGATTGTAAGTCACTTCCAATTATTGAATGAATTATTGTGGTGTTAGCATTAAACATAAGTGATATCACAAATGTATGTCACAATTCGTTATGACGATAAAATACACCCGAGATAATGTTAGCTTAGCCAGAAAAATTAATTTCGGAAAAGCAAATAAAATGGTTTGATTAATAAATCACCCAATGGTAGCTCTGAAGTGTCTATAATCAAATATGAAAATGCTAAAGAAAAAATTTATTAAAGAGATACTTGAATTATTGAAACATAAAAAATTTAGCATGTTAGAAAAAAATGAAGAACTTTACCATATGCTTTGTGGAGCTATTCAGGATTATAATTTGTTGCACGTAAGAATGGGAATAAACCAATTGTCTTTAGCAAAGCAATTTGCGAGGGACTATCAATGAATTGTCTAATTGATGTTGAAAAATCAAGCTTAACAACACCAGTGATGTTAATCACTTTTGAAACGAGTATAGTTGCACCACGGCTAACGTTATAAATTATACACTGAACAATTTTTAAACTTGGTTTATTAATAAAATTTTTGACACAAATACATTTGGAATCTGTGATTAGTCGATATGATTTTTTCATTTCTGATTGGTAAATCCCGGATCCCACACTTAGAATTACACATGTAATTGATTTTTTTTACTTTTTAAATTTTTTTCAAATGAATCCAACTAGAGTTGCCTGTCAAATCCTTGTTAAAAGTGAATCCTCCAGGACGACCACCACATTTGCGGGACACGTAATAATTCTTTGATGACGTGAACGATGCAAAAAGGGTTAGGGCCTGGATCTGGTCAAGGTTATTTGGCAAATAAGAAACGCATTTAAAATAAAATTTCGCAAGGAACATTTTTTGTTAGAACACAAAAGATAGTCTCATAGGCTAGATTTTGCGATACAAGCTTTTTTTCAAAAATATGCCTTTATTTAAATTTTTGTGTTACACGTTGATCTTGCAATTTAATTGGTCATCATCGCCACATTATCCAAGATTATCACGTGGCCCGCAAATGCGGTGTTCGTTTAAGTTAAAACCCATCAGTCGATTGAAAAGTTTTGACGACTTCCATGGATTACAACAGTTTCGATGGTTTCGCATCAATTCTAAATAAGTAATACAAAACTCCGATTAAAATGACTTGGTAATTAACTTATTAAAGCGAATAACAATTGCATGTATTTAGCTTCTATTCCTCATTTACACTCAACTTAATTAACCCATTCTGGAAAACCACATTTCCTTTTTACATTTGATATACGTATTCACATAAATTTATTATGTAAAAACCCATCAAATGACTGGAAAGAATGGGGAACGGAACGGAAAGATTTGTAAATTCACGCATCTGCATGAATTATGTATACCAATTACTTTCGCTACAATATGTGCATATATCTTGTAACATTCATTCAAGTACATGAACATATATGTACTGTGTACGTACGTATTTGCAGCGTACATGTACAATGTAGACTTACATTTAATTAATTGTGTCCCCCGTTTAGATTGTGCGCCATGCGGCTCTTCTTTAAACACAACGATATCGAATTCCACATACGTACAAACCATCATACATGTACATGTACTAGGTTGGTTACAACGATATCGATATGCTCGTACACAAAAAAGCATCCTCGTTATAATGAAATCACAGTCAAAACTGGTCATAAAGTTCTTTTTATAAGATACTTTCCTGTCCTGTAATGATATCGTGTAATAATGCTAACTATATAGTGATAAAAATACTTTTTTTGTACGGGCATATCGATTTCGATACGTATTGTTATGACCAGGAGCTTTGAATGTATCACTTAAGAGGTTATAGTACGTAGTAGCATGAAAAGATATCGTAATAGAAGAGTATCGTTATAAAAAAATATCGTTATAAAAAACTCTGACTGTAATCACTAAAACCATTTTATAAAGTAAACCCAAAGATGGAATTTAAAAGTTCAAATACACATGTTTGTAGTGAATGTGACTATTGTCGATATAATTACTACTGTGATGAATGTCCAGATCACAATATTCATTATTGTAGTAAATGTACTGATTGTCAAGAAAATAAGTACTGCTTTAAATGTTTGGCTTATCACAAACGAATTTATAAAGATGCATGGTCGATTGAAACTCAAGATATTGATAGTCTAATAAATAAATGCGCAAGAATTGCTGATGAATATGACGAATCTTTTGATTGGATCCCTTTAGAAAGATTTATCAATATTGAATATCTTGCAAAAGGAGGTTTTGGAACAATATATAAAGCGACGTTACAATATTACAGTAGTGGGATCATAGAGAAAACAAATTTAAACGACTAAACGTTCACAAAGAAGTTATGTTGAAATCATTGCACAGTTCAAAGCAAATTACATCCGAGTTTCTAAACGAGGTAAAATTGAACAATTTCTAAAGTGTAAGCAAGATGATTTTTGTTTTTTAACACAAACAAGTTTTTTGAAAATAGATTCAAACTGTTCTAAAGTGCACTGATAGCGACAATAGAATGAATTATTATGGAATAACTAAAAACCCAGCTACAAATGAATACTCGATAGTAATGAATTACGCAAAAGATGGAGATATTCGCAAATTTATTACATGTAATTCCAACTACAAAAAATTGGGTTGGGAAGGGAAATTAAGATATTATCGCAGAATTGTTTGTAATTCACGAAAAGGAATTTGTGCACCGTGACTTTCATCCTGGAAATATATTAATAAATCATACTCAATAATTGCCGATTTTGGACTTACTAGCCCAGCAGAAATAGAAGGGTCTGATCGAAAAATTTACGGAGTACTTTCTTATATGAGTCCAGAGGTGCTAAATGGAAAGCCATACACTAAAGCTGCAGATATTTATAGGTTTGGAATGATTGCGTACGAAATTGCAACAGGTGAACGACCATTCGGTGAGCAGAGTCATTACAGATATCTCGTTTTAGACTTCTATAAAGGAGTACGACCTAATCTATCAAATAATATTCCCAAATGGTGCAAATTTATTATGGAAAAATTCTGGGAGCTTATTCCAGAAAACAGACCAACTGCTAAGGAACTTGAAGTCTTTATCGGCTCTATCTTAATATCGCTGATATCCAACTGAATGCTTTGCGTTTTCAGTACTACAGCACTTTAGAGGATAAATAAATTAAAAAGCGTCTTAAACTGGAAAAACAAAAATTGAAAGAAC